GCACATGCGGCTGTGCATATATATATATATATAAATATATATATGTATATGTATGTGTATATGTGTGTTTGTGTGTGTGTGTCTCCTAACTAGGCCCTCGAGATCCCCATTGACGCCCGCGACCACTTTTTGCGGCTTTTTCGGACCCCAATTTTCGTCCGGAAAGCTGCTGAGCAAAAAGGAGGCGTAAACGGCGCGGAATCCCATGGAACACAAGGAACGCTCGGGGGTCACCCGATTCCCGCACAGCGGAGACATTTGCACACCCCGAAAACGAGTCCACTTTGGTTTCTCCAACGAGCACGGCTCCTGCGCACAGGCCTCTTGCTGGGCAAGGTTGATCTTTGCAGCGAGCGGCCCTAACACAAACAGGTAAGAAGGTGGGGTTCAAGAACACCCTGGTCCTAGTTGCCCAGTGACCCCGAACAAAAGGAAAGGCAGACCCTTTGCGGCTGACTATTTCCCGTAGAACCTCCAAAAAGAGTGCACCCAAAGCTCCCTTGTCGCGCCTTGTAGTACTGAAACATCTTGCTGTAGCCATAGGACAGGAACTTGGGCAAAGCACCGACCACCTCAAGTGCGCCCGTACTGCATGCGTCCTTAAATGACATATCCAAAACCGGCTGACTTGCTGGAAACTTGTCCAAAGTAGGAACTTCAAAACGGCTGCTAAAGGGCGATTGTTTGACGGGCCCCAATGCATCCTGTAAGGGATCCTTGCTCAGTTGCCGAGAGAACCACGCTTGCAATAGAGCGCAAGGCATGGCGTAAGCCATCATGTTGTGCTGGCCTAGTGTTGATGGGCACCACTGGCGCAAAACGACAGGTGAACAGCGACTCACGCAACGCTGCATCCCTCACGCCAATCGGTACACCACACGCCTGGTTGTGGATGGCAATAGCCCATGCGCATCTTTGGCTAGCGGGGAGAACCGCCGATTTCATTTAAAAACGGCCCAGCTTGAACAGCAGCCAAGCAAACATGCTGGTTGATGACAATGCCGGCCTTGGAACTTCTTTGGCCTTGCTTCCCCTACGGTGCCTGGAACAAGGGGGCCGGAACGCCAGCGTTGTTTCCGAGGATGTCCTTGGGGTGGTTTTGACTCAGCCTCCCAGGTGCCCCAAATAACATGCGCCCCCCCAAAGCCCACGCAATGCCAGGCGCAGGCCATTTCGGGCCCGGCATGGCGGAAAAGGGCAGCACCTCACTTGGCATGGGCTTCCCGCGGCTTCCCAACTGAAAAATTGGGGAGAGTTGGCTTTTACCCCGGGAAAGCTGACTTCCTCTGAGTGGAGTGGCCCAAAAAAGTCTGAACTCTTGTGTCCATCCAAACCCAAAAAGTGTGAAGTCCAAGAACTCAGGAAGCGAGAAAGCATGGGACCGCATACATAAAGGTTTCCGCGAGAAAGCTTTCGCTTTTTTCATCAAGGTTGCTCCATCGACCCGTTCAGACTATGGCTGCGGCTCAAAGAATGCGACCAATGACCAAAACCTGCGCAACCCTTCCGCTCGAATTTTCAGCCACCTATTTCATTATAGGATGAATATGCAGAAAACTTTAGGACCCCTGGCAAAGGGAGACTAAAAGAAAGAAACGACTTCCCAAAAATGTTTCAACAACAACTGCAAACCAGGCGGCGTGACAACCCTTTAAACCGAGTTTAGCACCGCTCCAAACAATTGTTCGTGGACCCTCCTTAGACAAATCTGCGCCGGAGCCCACCTCTTGACAACCTGAATTGACCAATCCCATGCTCACTTGCAACAGGACCCAGCAATCAAGGGAGGCTAACCAGCGCTCGCCTTGTTTGGCAGTCCTTTTCAAACAACTTGAAAAGGAAAGCCGTGTGGTCTGGGCAAAGGAGTCTACGCGGCAGGTGTGGTTGATGCGGAATTCAGACTTGTTTTTGCCAATCCACTGAAGAAGTGAGCCAGGTGCTGGTTCTGGGTTGAAAGGAATCCAAGAGTTTTGAAACGCCCAGTGCGTTTGGATTGATGGTTGAGAGGGTGTTTTGACCTCATTTTGAAAAAGCAAAACAAAGCCAAAGCCCAGCAGTTTTTGTCGGTCCCCCTATTTGATGAGCAGCCCCCTAAGTCCCAAATCGACAATTCTGGTAGGTGATTCTACTACCAGGTTTCTTGTGGGTTACAGTAAGGCCTATGTAAACCTTCATGATCGCCATGGTATATATAGATGGGTTCTGAGCGCTGCTCATGGTTTAGGGCCAATTTCTGAGACCATCACCAAAGGAAGTGACAAAGTGGGCATGGGGGCGATATTCCTGTGCTCCCCAAATTGGCATGGGACCCCGTTGCCACCTTTTAAAGTGGATATCACACCAGGCCCTCATCTTTGCATAACTCGTTTCTTGTAGCAACTATGCAAAAGGGGGCTTCACAATTTGAGACACACAAAAAAAAAAAAAACGGTCCTCCACCCCCCCCAAAAAAATGTCCAAGAACTCAAGAAGTGAGCCAGGCGTTGGCTGCTCAAACTCTTCCCCAGTCATCGGATTCGCGCGCCTTGGCGCCATCAAAGCCCAGCCTCAGCGCTTCCGCCGCCGAGCGCCGCAGCGGAGACGCCATGGCAACGACTGCGACGTCTGCGACTTGGGCCGAACGCGGCGGAACGACCTGGGGGAGTTCCCAAGCCAAAGGGAAACCCAAAAACTCAACAGCAAACGCACCGTTTTTTTGGAACTCTGGAACTCGATTTTGAAAAGCATCCAAAACCTGGCGGTCTGTGAAACCCAGTGGGCCGGCTGACGCGCAGAGCTGATTAAAAAAAGGTGCATGCGACCACGAGCAGCGACGAGACAGAATGGCGAAGCATGATAGAAGCTCAGCTGGATGTTCACCACCTGTTGCTATGTAAAGTTGTTTATATCCAACTCACGGACTGAATATGGACCAACACGGAGGGAACCTGCACGTTTTTAAGGTCGGCCTTGGTCAAGTGAAGGTCCGCGTCACCCCACGAAGTTTCGCGACGTGGGGGGATGGGACAGCCGAAACTATAACTGCCAGGCACTGCCTTGGAGACAGGCCGGCGTCAGAGCTCGCGTGGTTGGCGCTGGCAGAGTTCGCTCAGCGCGCTCTGCGCGCTGGGCGGCCCTACAAAGTATGACAGGGGGAACGCCGCAAACAGGGTCTTTCCTTGGCAATAGGCGGCTTTGTTATGATCGGTGCAAAAACGTCACGTTGTTTGAACTGCGTTATTTATGCCGTAGACTGAAGCCCAGACCCATTGCAGCCTCAGTCAATTGCTCACTGAGAGGGGCAACAAGGAAAAGTCCGCCTTGCTCAGCCAAGCGGCAGTGCTGACCGGCAGGGGGCGATGGGCGGCGATGGGTCTAGCACCCACCACACCACTCGGTCTTCCACCGAACACGGTGAGTTTCATTCCGGCTCCCTCTAAATCACTCTAAAACAGGTACATTGCAAACAAGCAAAACCAAACTGGGGCTGTCCCATTTCTAGCCCGTGCGCGCCCGTCGATTTAGCGGGGCCGGAAGGTCAAGCGGGGCACAGGGTCTGGCACAGCCATGGTCTTAGCGATCTTCGTCCAGGTCCTCAGGCGCCAAGGGAAGAGCGCGGGGCCCACAACCACAGTGGGATTTTCATGAGAAAATGGCAACTCTTCTCTCTTCCAAGTAGATTGGCCACAAATGAAGTCCAGGAACTCAGAAAATGAGTTGTTGTTGCTGTTGTCGATATTTGTGCAAAGGGAGACACATTCCACAGTCGACCTAAGAGGCCAAGTTGGGACTGACATAAAGTCCGCCAAAAATACTTGATGATCACAGAACATGGCAGAATACCAGCATAACAGGTGCCGTGCCTGCCACAAAACGACCGGGCAACCCGGCGCGATCCGCGCAAACAGGTCAGTCAGTGTAAGGTACTGGGCCATACTGCGCGGCGAAAGATTTGACACCAACGTACCAAAAGCGGCGCACGCGCCACAGAACAACCAGGGACGCGTGTGGAACGCGTCAGTGAGCGAGTGCGGTGAGGGTGAATGAGGGAGGTTGTGAGGGCAAAGTGAATGAGTGGGAGTGTGGCGTGCGGCCCCCCCGCGGATAACAATTTGGGGGGTGGCCTCAAGATTACCACAAGGTCGGGCAGGAAATGTGGCTACCGAGAGAAAAAACGATCTGGAAAAGAGACATAGTAGTGTCCTTCTCCAGAAGTGTTCAAAAGCCGCTAGTTCATCTGGGGGGGGAGGTGCGCTACACAGGATCCAAGCGGGATCTAGCATCGAACATGGGCCAAGGCCACAACGAAAACCACGGAACGCAACGGGGCCACCTCTCCATGCCTCAGGTGCAACGCTTTGGACACTAGGTCCTCCAGTACAGAGGTTAGAACAAGGGCGCCCTTGTTTCCTGCAATCTATTTCAGTAGGGGAAACCAAAACCCCAAAACAGGGTGAGAAAGGGCACTACTGGGGGACCTAGTTGAGGTAGGTTGATCTAATAATTATCCAAAGCCAACCAAAAAAGAAACGGGGAAAAGAGCGGGCACCAATTGCTTGGGGACCTGGGACACCATTAAAATCTTTGAGCCTTGGAGTCCGTTGGAAGGACAACTTGGAGCTAGGAGTCTCCTTCGGACCCGAAATAAAATGGGTTCATGACCCCGTAATTTTGGGCAATGACCCCCATTTTTTAAGGGTCATGGAGACTCCAGGTAGTTCAAAATCATGCGTGGTATACTCCTCCAATTGAAACAGTTGGTTTCAAAGTTCCTTCCCTCCCAACATGGCAACTGTAGGAGGCTACCTGGAAGATCAATCTTGGATCGACCCCCGAACGTCAGGTGCCATGTTAGTGGAAAGGAGGCTACATTCTGATTACTCAGGCCTTTCATTTAAGACTTGTGCCGGGGCGCTGGTTGGCTTGAAACAATTGGTTGGCCCGTTGGCCCCCACCCTCTGTCCACCTTAGGTGATCCCCACCTAAAACTTTCCGAGAACCTTCAAACGAATCTGAGGCGCTGGTTGGGCGCCAGCTCGAAGTCGAAGCTGGCGGTGAACTTCGCCAGGAGCGTCATGATCTCCATGTCCGCCAGCCGCGCCCCCAGGCACATCCGGGGGCCAAAGCTGAAGGGCGAGGCCAACAGCTTGTGGTCCTGAGATGGGTCAAAACCCTGGTTACCCCCCAGTGAACATCAACCAATCCCCACTAAAACTGGTTGTAATATGGGTGGTGCACCTACCCAAAATGGTATCAGGCCAAAAATAGGCACCCAAAATGGGTTGCTCTTGGTAAATGGAGACATGGACTAACACCTGCGCTTTTTCTTTTAGTGCTTGAATCTTGACCCAGATGGCTATGGGTCAAAACCCAAATCATACCCCCATCCCAATCCAACCACAAAAATCGGTTATGGGTGACCTGGATAGTACCGGATTTGGCATTTGTGTGAAGGACATCCTTTTCTCACCTACCGGGACCTCTAAAAGCTCAGATCCGGCCGACTCGCGTCGGCAGCTCAGTTTTAGTTGGTTGTGCCTGCGTTTTGTTGAGTCTCCCCATTTTCAAAATTGCAGGTTGTCTTGTTGGTACCGCTTGAAAACCCACAAACAAGTGGCACGCTCCAAAAAAGGCGTTCAAACAGAAACCTACTTGGGTTGGGAACCTAGTGTATAAGTTATTATAACCCACTTCGCAGCCACCGTTCAGTGGTGCGTCAACCTTGTTACGGGGTGTGGCTAACCATAGACACTAATTGAACATTCAACCCAATCAGTGGCCCCGGAAACACTCGAGAAAGAGGAGCCACTTCCCCCTGTTGATGCATCTAGTGGTTGGAAACCAAAGAAAAGGGAGCAACAAACATCCACCAAACGAGACCGGGAAATGGTCTGGGTGCACCTTCTGCCCAAGGCGCCAGCAAGGACTTGAAGGGGTCGCTCTTTCGCGCCTCCACCGCCTCCGTGTGAAAATGGCTGAGGCCCTCAAACTGAGCGGGAAATCACCCCATTGTTCTAGGGGGACCTTCCATTTCAATTTCCGTTCTTTCCAAGGATCCTTCTTTCTAGAAAACCTCTGGAAACCCAAGGAAAACAGCTGGTTTTTTGAAAAGAACGCTGGTTGGAAAAACTAGAATTGTTGTTGGGCCAGGCATGGGACAACACTTGGACATTGCCCCATGATTTTAGGGCAAAACTGGGACATCACATCACACTATGACCTTTTGCGGCAATACGGCAGGTTGAGGCCGATGGCTTGACCAAAGTCTCTGCCTCAGTGGCAGGTTCAAAGGAAACCGGAAACCCAAGTTTCTGAGTTTGACGAGCCCCAGAAGAAAAAGAAGAAGCAACAGAAACAAAACACTTGAGAGGTTGGTGAGCGAAAGCTAGCCAGCCCACACCGACGACAGGCTCATGAAAATGTCCTGGTGGTGTGGGGCGGGGGGCGGACCAGAATTCTAAAGATTGAACAATCGATGCCTGAAGCCGGCCCAGCCCCCGAAATTGATAAAGCAAGGATCAATGCTGGAATAGCCCGGCTTTTTGCGCATAAGTCCCAAATGTTGCTCCATGGCCAGAATAGAAACTCCCAGTGACCGCTTTTTGCTCTTGAAGGTTCCCTCCCACGCGGAGTGGCTGATCCTGGAATCGGAATTGGGAAACTATGGATCTCTGAAACCAGGAATCGCGAGCTGGGGGTCGCAGCCAGAACCCTAAGGTGCTTTTGGCAGCCAGGCTCTTGCCGAAGGACTCCTGCGGTCGTTGCCAAGTTAAGTTGTAACGGTCGCCTAGGTTACCCACTCTTGTTCGTCCCTGGTGAATGTGGGGCAACCTAAGAAGCAACACCAACTTGGCTGGCCGAACATCCAAGCGCCTTGTCACAAGCCGACCCATGCCACTTTCCCACAATGGTCGCAAACACAAGGACGCTTCCACGGCTCGAAGCGGTACCTGAAAATGGTGTTGACACAGGACCAGAAGCATCTCACCTCCTGAGATGGGCCAAACAAAAAGTCGGAACTTGTCATTTATCACCAAAACGGTCCTTTCAACAGTGTAAAGTCCAGAAACTCAGGGAGTGAGGACTATTTACCCAAGGGCTATGAACATTTCCTGGCCACGCGCTCGGCCCACGAGTCCGCCTCTGCCAGAAACCGTTCTGGGCGGAACTCCTCGGGATCCTCCACCAGCTCCGGGTCATTCTGCAGCCCGTCTGAGGCCATGATGATCCGCGTCCCTCAGATGGAGCAAGTGGGAGCTCAATTCAAAGATGCCATGGATACCCTCAGTTGCCCAAAGGACCCAGAACTAAAAGATTAACCTTTTGGCACCTCTACTAAAAATGGACCAAAATGGGAAAACATAAAGGTCAAAAGGTCGGCTTTGGACAACTGAGTACCATCAACTGCCTGGTGTTCCTTGGAATCCTTTGGGCTCAACAGCTGTGTGACGCCTGTTGTTTCTGAGCATTCCCCGAAACCGGGGGTTGGAAGGAAGCCAGAAGGAAAGCCGCACAAATTCTCAGACGTCTTCGGATTTATGAAACCCCCACTGGCCGCGAGCTTGGCTTCACTTTTAGTCTGCAACACGTGCCTTTTGCTCGTGTACATAGCTTTTTACACATGCTTCTGACCCTCGAATGGTTTGCATGTTGGCCGCCCAGATGGTGTGGAGGCAATGGACTGCCGAACTATGCGCGACCGCATACTTGGTGCATGGGCAAGACTCTTACGATAGGGGAAAACCAACCATCGCTTCTCTTTTCTGGGCTTAGATCCCCCGGAAAAATCTAACTTTTGGATAGAGGAAACTACCACAAAACCAACCAAAATGCTAAAAACCTAAGGACCCGGAAAGCCTGGCAGCCAACACAGGGCCAAAAGCACGGGCCGAGCACCGCTTGCATTCCGGCCTGCTGGCACGTTGTAGCCACACAGCGCCACGTCTTCGTCCAGGAAGCGGAAGGTGTAGATGTAGCCAGGCATGCTCAAGCGGTGGCTCTCCCTTATCACGGCCTAAGGGCTGAATGGGGCTTGGATTGAAAGGAGCTCACTGCCGCGAAAAACGTCACAACCTACAAGTTAAATTCGAGGTATTTGAGCCCAATTTCGAGGTATCTAGGTTTTAGCTTGAAGGGGTTTGCAAACAGCAGCTGCTGGCTGCTGGCTTCGGCGCTGGAGCCGGTGCCTGCAGGCGCGCGGGCGGCGATGGCCGCTGTTTTCTCTTTCGGGGGGGAGGGGGGGGGTTGAAAGGAGGCTTACTGAAAGGGTTCTAGCGAATACGGGGCAGTAGTCTATTGAATTCATGATAGTCATGCACTCCAAGAACCCACTTGTTACTTGATGGATCCCACCCTGAAACAGAGAACTCCTTTGGTGGAACAGGTGCCCCTGTAGCGTTGGTTCCCTGAGCGCATAGAGAATATGAATCAACCCTTGTTCGTAGGGGGCGCCCGCCAAGTATGTAGATTCCCTACCAAAGCTTATGATGCCCCATGTGACAAAGAACAGTGGTCGATTTTTCGGGGTTAACGCTAGTTACCCGCAATTCGGTGCATTCGATTGAATCCAGGGATTGTGCGCAGGGGACAAGGTCATTCCAGTGCGCCGCAACTGCAAGGGTGATGCTGCAAATGCTGACTTGTTCAAAAGCTGCTGAACGGCTCAAAATCTTTGTGGCCCATGGGGAAATCTCTAGCGGCTCTGCTGGCGAAGAAGAAAACTCAGTGCTTGGGCTTGAACTCAGTGTCCTTTCAAGAGGCAACTATTTTGTTTGGGTCCTTTCGCGGCTGAGGCAAGCTAGTGGGGCTCACAAGAAGCCTGCTGCAACACAAGACACTTGTCCCCAATCCGCGAAGCCGCCACTTGGCTTGACAGGGTTGGACTCCCTTGGTTGAAATTTTCGGAAAGCTTCGGATCACCTGCCACGCTATCCTAGGAAAGCCATCCTGAAGAAGCCAGCTGGGACCAAACCCATTGCGAAGAAGGCGGCTTCGTTTCTGAAGAAGCCAGCTGGCGTGACCGCCAAACCCAAGCTGCTCCCTGTCTGAGATGACTTTGATGTGAGGGCCGCCCTTTTTGCAGGGTTTTCTAATGTTTGCCCGTCCATCATCATCCTAGGGCACCTTTTCCGCTTCCTGCGCAAGCAGAAGACCTGGGGAACCTTTGCCAGCACTTTCAGAAAGAACCCCGTTTTTTGTTCCTGCGGCGTGCCCTGCATCCAAGGAATTGGGCATTCGTTCTCCTGGATCGTTGCTGCAAGCTGTTTGGTGACACCTACGTCAAGGAGGCTATCCAACGCAAGCAATCCGCCATCAGCTTGTTCAGTGGCATTGAGTGTCCAAGAGCTAGCTGGGAATACATCAAGGTGGCCGCCAAGAACATGTGGGGTGTGAATGTAGGCTTGGAGTTTGTGTGCTCCGCACTTTGGCTTAAATCTGGAGGTGGAACAGTTTCAACAATCTCTGAACACATTCAGGCTTGAGTACAGGTAGCTTCAGTGCAAACCAAGGTGGAGAAAGACAGGGCGTGCCAGGAATGGCTGCATGAACTTTTCCCGTCTACGTGCCTGTTTGCGGATGTTTGTGAATTGGTCACCAACAAGATCCCACAAGATTCGTTATTGGACCCCCAAAAAATCAACATTGCCAAGAATGCATGGTGCCTCACGCACACGAAGATGTGCCGGGTTCCGGTGACCAAAGACACGGTCTGTGTCCTCGGAGCGCCGTGTGTATTGTTCTCAAGGCTTCCTCACTGCAAGTAGACACAGCAGGTGTTTGAGTCCAGGTGCGCGTTCAAACATTTTGTTGGTCGCAAAAGCTCTTAGGTTGGGGAAGCAGGAGAAGCTACGGAACATCAAAAAAGGTCAATGTCATTCCGTCAGTACGGGCATCATGCGGCATTGTGCGGTTTCCTTGCACGAGAACGTGGTGGGTTTCGATGATGAGTTGCTGAAAAACTCTCTGGACAACAAGATTGAAATGGCTCAGCCCCTTGGCCCCCCTTTAGCCCTGTTCGCCTTGCCCGAACCCCCTTCCGCCTGCCCTGCCCAGGCTTTGCCCGCAGCAGTTTGGAAGTCCATCGGGGCGGCCTCGCCAATACAGAATCACGTGGAACCCGAAGACTCGCAAGTGGGCTGCGGATTCTCAGCAAGTGCAAAGTTACAATGTTTAATTGTTGCTTGTCGCATGTACGGTCCAAAGAAGCACCCATGCTGCTTTGCATCAGCATTTTGCCTGATGCGAGGCAGACAGCTTTGCTAACTTTACCAAAGAGCTCTTGGTGGACCCGAAAGTGAAAACGTTGCTGAACGCAAAAGACTTTGCCATCAGTGACAGCGATGAGCTTGAACAAGTGTTTGGGGAGTTCAAGGGCTCCGAAGCCGGGCTGTCAGAGTGCCTTGCCAGCGGTGAGGGCGCCCTGTAAGTGTCAACCAACTCCCGTTCGAGTCAAAACACAAAAAATAGTTCTTCAAACTTGTAAAAAGCAATTGTTGGCTCAATTGCGTGCTCAGAATTCGCACGAGGTCTTACAAGAACAGCTTGCAGCTCTACAGAAGGCTTCGCCCTGCGAAGCGTGTGTTTGACCTGTCCCAGGACGTGAGCGCCAAGAGGGGCCGGACTGACTTGAAGAATGGAGAGTTGCCCACGCTAGCCACATCAAGCAGCCATTTGTGGCGTCTCAGCTCATGTTTTTTTTTCTGGTCTATCATCTGAGTCATACAAACCATTGCCTTGTCACCAGCCGGTCCACTCCTAATTGTACGAAGCCATGATGTTTTTCAGAACGCCATACGAAGACCTTGTTTCAAGCCCCCTCCCACACACAATCAACCAATACTCCTCCCCGGCATTCCCTGATGAGTGTGGTTTCATTTCCCCACCCAAAGTGCGGAGCAACACCCCAAGCAACTCAAGTCAATCTCATCAATCAAGTCTTGGAACTTCTTTGAGAGAGTTGTTCTCTTCCTGCGAGCATTGTTTTCCTTCTACCATCCCCCCATCCAGCCCCCCATCCAGCCCCCCATCCAGCCCCCCATCCCCCCATCCCCCCATCCCCCCATCCCCCCATCCCCCCATCCCCCCCCCATCCATCCCCCCATCCCCCCCCACCCCCCATCCCCCATCCCCCCCCCCACAACTGTGATGTAAACAAGCTTGTTCTGCCAAGGAGTGAGGATCTGAAGCGTATCTATTCTGGCAAGGAGAAGCTCTTCACCTTGCAGTATCCAGTGTGGGAAAAATCCTCAGCAGGGGGCTTTGAGGCGCCAACCCTAGTCTAGCACCGTTTCCTGATTAAGGTCTCAAGTTGCTCACAGGTTGACTTGTGTTCTTTTAGGTCAGAGTGGACGAGTTGCTCAAAAGCCAGCGCTTCTCCGAGCACACGTTGACACGCTTCAGTGGCAACGGCATGCATGTGCCAAGTGTAGGCTTTGCCTTGCTGATGATGGTGCTTGCGGTCTCCAAGAAGTAACCCAGTTAGGGCGCGGTTTTGTCTTGATGAAAAGTGCGGCTTGTAGCACTTGTGCGCCCCACATCCGCCTTGCGTGAGACGCTTGCTGATGAATCCTTCATCACTGCCCACCCGGCTTGGCTTTGGCTCAGATAAGTATGGTTTGGACATGTTTGGAGTAAGACTATACGGTCTTAATTGTGGACAAAATGAAACCCAGCGCTCAGAGAATCCCACGCAAAAAGCGTCCATTTCTTCAAGGAGGAACGTAAAATACACACACACACACACCTCACAACAGGTCTAGTTCCTTAAATTCCGATGCTCGTCTGGCGCCCATGCCCCCCTTCCAAAAAGAGGGTCCCGAGAAGCAGAAGCAGCCCAAAGGCCTGTTTGGCCCAGAGCCTGCGGAACCCGCTGATAGTGCTAGGAGAACAGGATCTTCTTTCAAAGGAGCAGGAGGCTCGGGTGAAAAGTTTGCAACGCTTCAGAAACAAGGTGTGGTGTGTTGAGCTTTGTCGCTGTCGCAGGTCCAACAAAGAGAAGAGCCCTAGTCTCTGACGAGCGCGGATCAAAGAAACCTTTTGCCCCAGAAAGTGAAGAAGCCAGCAACAGCAACTCTAGCGATGACTCTTCCACGTCAGACGTCAAACCTTCAGTCCTCAACTTTGGATGGCAGAACCTGCACGCTGCCTGCAAGAGCCAGTTCCTCAAAGATGCCGCGAAAGCCGGCAAGCAGGTAAAGCCTCGGCGAGCGTATGACAATTCAAAGCGGGTAGCGGGTGCTGCTTATTCAAGGAAGCGCGATGTGTTCAAAGCACGTGGCCTTTGTATGAAAAGGCTTGCGACTGTGTTGGGAAATGATCGCTGTTGGTGTTGCTAAGTTGCATTGGTAAACGCTTGGATTGTGCTGTGGCCAGTGCCCTCAAAAAAACCCTCCCCAATTCTCAAACCATGTCTCTGCCCAGGCTCCCGCGGGGAATGCTTCAGCCAATACCAGAAGAAGGAGTTAGCGCAGTTCTTGGAACAATTTTGGAACATCTCCAAGCATGACCAGGACAGCCTTGCACCTTGGCTGCTTGCGTGCCTTGGGTAGGAACCAGTTCCATGCGCCTTCGCTGAGTTACACCAAGCCGTTGAAGGCGCTGGGCCTGTCCGCGATTACCATTTTTTGAACAAGGCTGTTGGCAGCAAGTGCTTGGCCAAAATTCTTGGCATTGGCACTACCCGCCTCCGGAGAGGAACCTCTGTTGCACCTGACCTTCGCTTTGGGAAGGACAAATCCCAAAGTTCCAAAGAAGCTTACAGCGTTGATGCATTTCTGTCCACTCTGTATGAAGGGGTTGCAGAGACTTTGCCTGATAGGCAGGGGAGTTGCAGTCATTGTGTATGATGTTCACTCAAACTGTTGTGTAGTGCCCCTCGAACCCTGGAAAGGTTTGTCCGGCGTGGCCGAGCTGCCAAAGCTGACGACGCCGATTTTGACGTTGCCTCTGATGTGTCAGATACCGATTTGGTTACGTGGTTGGAAAAACCTGGCTCTGGACCTGCGTGGCAGCTCT